ATGATGCCAAAACATTGGGAATCTTCTTTAATTGTTTTTTCCTTTTAGAATAGCACCAAGTCTTTAATCTGTTCATGTGTTGCTTTTTTGATGGTGGGCACAGTGTATACAATCTGAAGATGTCAATACAGTATATAAAGAGCCTGATACACGTTTATTTTACTGATCCCTAGGAACAGCATGACTTTCTTCCTTTTTTTTTTTTTTTAATGCTGTTAGGCCTGCGTATGCCCCCAGTCCCTTGCAAACAACCAAATATCTAAGAATAAATGATAAATTGCATAAATCGTAACCAGTAATTTTTAACAATAGATTTTTTTAAAGGCTCAAATACCATATGCGTGCTTTTAAATGTCTGTGAATTCTGAATGTACTTCTTGTAGATTTTCTTAGTGATTTCTCTCTTCTCTGCTTCTTAGGCTATCTCCAATTTCACTTGTTTACACAATATTCTTCTTAGCTTCTTTCCTTTTTAAACAATAAACATAAAACAGTTTTTACTGTATAGACTTGTGGTTTATTTTTCTCTGCAGTGAATTTGTGCACAAATAGTTTTAGATAGAGGTGAAATTATTATTTATAACTTGCATGCACAAATTTGGTCTCTGTACACTTCAACAGCAGGGTCTGCTGTCCAAGACATGAAATGTGGTTGTCAGCTGCAAAATGAATGTCAGAATGTAACCCCAGTGGCAACAAAGGCAGAAAAGATTACAAAAGGGATGGCTTTTCCTTTGAGCCTTTCTATGGCCCAGAACTCTTTCAAATAAATGGAGCTTTAGAAAACAAGGTATCTACTTGAAATTGCTGGTACGCACCCTTCCCTAAATCTTGGGAGTTAACTCATGTATTCCAAGCTACTAAGTCAGGATGGAAGCTCTCCTGATTGCTAAGCATCTTAACAGTGTGGGCTGAAGTAGGTAGTAGAACTTTGGCCAATTATACCATATTAGGTATTGGGTTTACTGGTATCATTTGTGCTGGGGAATTCCATATACTATTTTTGCCATTTCTAGAAAAAGAACAGGCATTTTAAAGCACATTAAGGAGTTTCCTAAGTGTCCTTGGCTTCCTTCAGCATTGTAACTTGTCTTCTTGCATCATAACTAGAGTTTTGAAAGGGAAATGCCCTAACCTTACACTTCCGGATGGAGTTCTAATCTGATATTTAGAAAAGTGCTCTTTCTCACTCCAAAACTGAGAACTGGAAAATGATTATTTCTAACTTACACCTATTCTTAGACATATACTGTGGGTTAAGCATATGTTGTTCCTTCTTTTCATTTCCACTCTTGTGTTACAGAGCAAGCTTCAGCTGCAGCCATTAGACCTTTATCAAAAGGTCTTGCTCCTGGAAGGAAAGTAATAATATCTTCATGAATTATTTCAGAATTTCCATTGACACTTCTTTATTCTACATGGGAAGGGAAGGAAAATGGAATGATCATGTCAAATACAACATCTGCCAGTTGAAATAGTGGAAGATCAAAGCCTGGGGAAGCCTTCGTACTGTAGCTATCCTAAGTTCTTATGCTAATACATAAGTTCTTTGCTTTGTAATATATTCTACAATGCCTGAAATTTTAAACTGCAACCTACAGTGGCTGAGAAATTAAAATATGCTTGGAATACTTGGATAGCTGTAGCATACTATGCCTGAATGTTCCAGTGCAAAATGTAATTGAGTAAAGAGCCAAAGGGAAAAATAAATGACCCAAGAGTTTCTATAACACTCAGCACCTATCTTCTTTTCCTCCTGTTCTTCTTCTTCTTTTCCTTTAATTTAACCTAATTTGTAGAAGAGCTCATAATGTTTTCTCCAGTGAGAACTGGAGCCTTATGTACCCAGCCATCTTCTCTTATCATAAGCTCCTAACACAGTGGATGGGCATAATCTCATATGCAAAAAAAAACATTATATGAAGCACTGATGGTTTTGAGACCTCCTACTCAAAACTGTAAATACATTCCAGTTTCTAAGTAAGTGTAGAAAATGTAATGATAATAAAAGTAATAAATGAATATCCCATTTCCAATCCCAGGAATCTGTGTGCAATTATACCTTTCCTCTGCTTGTGTGACGTATAAGGCAGAATGTGAATCTAATTTTCCTTGCTGTACGAGTCCAGGGAATTGACAGAAAAAATGCCATTTAGTGTAAGAAGTTTGAAAGAAATAAAGAAAGAGGGAAGAAGCAGACACATAGAAATGCCAATGCACTGTAAAGCTACAAAACCTTGATGCCGTTGTCCCTGGGAGGACATGAGATGTGTGATGACTGCTCTCAAAGTAATGCTTCCTGTTTCATGATGCTGGCCTGTGATGTCAGAGACAGAGATGGTGATATGGCAGTAGAAGACGAACCTCCCCACCATTATTCCATTACATTTTGTTGCATGTGACAGGTGACAGCAGAAGGACAGATGAAAGCAGGACAGATGACAGCAGCAACGGTGGGTCACCTCCACTGGTACAGATTTTTGTGGGCATGGCATACAGGCTCTTGTTTAACACTGGTGGAAATGTATGGTGATGGTGGCTGATAGTGGTGATTACGCTGAAAAATATTGGAAATTATTACATACAATATGCTAGCTGTTGTTGTTTAACCTGGAAGGCAGCTACCACATAACCTTTCATTCACTCCTCTCAGTCCCTCCTGAATAGAATGAGAAAGAGAATTAGTAATTGTATAATCAAGATGCTATAATCACAATATAATTGTATAATCAATAGATATCAAGATGTTATAACCACAATATAATCAAGAGAATTAGGCAAAGTAAACAACGACCACAAAAGAGAATAAGTGGAAGAGCTTACCCTTCAGCTGGGCTCACCACAAAACACCAAGAGAGCTGATCTCCAGAAGAGATCCTTCCCCACTGGTAGCCAGCTCTTAAATAGGTCTAGGAGGGGTGCAGCCTGGCTCCACCCCTTCCGGCAGCACAGGTGAATTGCCTTCAGCTGTGCTCCTCTGGCTGACTCATGGCTCGCCTCAGGTGATCAATCAGAGGTTCAGGCCGTGACCCAGCAGTTCCCATACAGTAATAAAATAGGACTCGCAGGCTGAGGTCAAAGTTATTTACCAAGAAGAGAAATCTGGAAACAAAAATGGATTTATAAATGCAGTCACTCACCACCTGCTGACTGATGCACAATAACAGCAGGACTGCCTGCTGACCAGCAGTGCAAGCTCTGAACTCCTGATGGATAGACAGACTAGACTGGATTGAACTCCCAGGTAGCAGCTGCTCCTTCCTCCAACTTCTCATTGCTTTACAGCGTTCTGCATGGTGTCCCTAATTCAGGCCTCAGGGTCTCCATTACTAGTTTACAACTAACCTCCTCACTGTCAGCACTTCTGAGTCAGTCTCCAGTCTCATCACTAAGGGCCTCAACTCTCCGCACTTTAAGAAATAAGCATCAGGTAAAATCAGAATAAAAAATGCTTTCCAATTTTTGTTTCACACAATAGGCAATCCTGCAACCTTACATTAATATTTCTGTCATGCTTGTTATCGCAGCCGAAACACAGTTACCTTCATCTTGCAGGCCAAAGTGCACTCTCTGGGGTATCTCACCCAGCCCTGTATTTCTTTCCTCGTTTAACCTCCAGAGAATAAAAATTAACAATGTAAAATCACTGGAATAATTCAGATCCACAGTTTGATGTAGAGCTTTTGCTTCTTGACTCATGAGTGAGCATAAGAAAAGCTCATTTAAAATTATTCACAGAGGTCATTTGATATTCCCATCTCTCATTTACCAGGACATGCTGTAGAGATGTAGTTCCTGTTATTTCTCAGAGATGGACATTTTCAGCTAAAAGAGTGTGAAATTTCTCAAAGACAGCTGTGCATCTGTTTACTCAGGCTGCTGTGATGCTGAGTTGTGACCTCATTCACTTTACTCTGTTTCAGTTTCTTGAAGCCCAGAATGTATCTGCTCCACCAGCATGAGCAACTAATGATGGCCTTGTATCCAGTGTGTGCAACAATGTTATCACAGACATGCCTGTCAGTGGTTCACACTGAAAAAAAGAAAGCAGAGTGCTATTGAAAAGGGAGGGGAGAGTTTGAAGGTGGAAACTGAGAATTAGTCGGTTTTTATTTAATATGGATCTACCTGGGGAAGGGAAGCTCTTGAAATGGTGTGAGTTTCATTACGTCCCAGATTCTATTTTCACAACGAATTTTAATAAATCGCGATGCAAAGATGTCTGGGTTTTAAGATCAAAAGACGGTGTACTACAATGGTAGCTCACGGGACTCCTGACAAAGCAAGCCTTTCAGGATGCATTGGCAGTGCTCTAACAGGCTCATCCGCCCTCAGGGAGAGGCTCGTTGATGCCTTGCTCCCGTACAATACTAAAGCAGATGTAAAGAGACGTCGGCTTTCACCCCTCTGCCAGGGTGCCCACCTCTGCTTGCCGACACCGGGAGAGCAGCGGCGGGCCGAGCGGGCGCCGAGTGGGACGCTGTGTTCGCAAAGGGGAGCGGGAGCCGAGCCCGTGCAGCGGGGCTGGGTTGTGTTACTTGCTCAGCTTTCAAACGCGTTTAAGCTGAGATCAGACACTGAAGCCACTGCGGTATTTGCCCTAATCAGGAGAGGAGCTTCTGAAGTACACGGTTTCATGCCGGCTGTGTGGATTTATCCAAAGGGATACTTTTAATTTAGAAGATAAATAGAATGTTTCCCTCTTCCAGGGTCACCACGGCTCCACTCAGCGGAGTTTCTCGGATCTCTTTCCCTTATTTCTCCTCATTCTAACGGGTAACTCTTCCAGCTTGCGGCACCCACGTCCCCTCACGTCCCAGTAAGGAACTGGGCGCGCGGACGGTCAATTTCTGAAGGAAAAAGAGCTTTTTGGACCGACAAGAAACACAACCGGAGCGGCGGCGGTCGGCGGGGCCAGCCAATCAGCACGCGCGGCGCTGCTATAAAGGGGGCGGCGGCGGCGGCCGCGCCATTGTTCGTGGAGCTCCGCAGGAGGCGCCATGGCCGAGACCGCTCCTGTTGCTGCGCCCGATGTCGCCGCCGCTCCGACCCCGGCCAAGGCGGCCCCCGCCAAGAAGCCGAAGAAGGCGGCGGGCGGCGCCAAAGCCCGCAAGCCCGCGGGCCCCAGCGTCACCGAGCTGATCACCAAGGCCGTGTCCGCCTCCAAGGAGCGCAAGGGGCTCTCCCTCGCCGCGCTCAAGAAGGCGCTGGCCGCCGGCGGCTACGACGTGGAAAAAAGTAACAGCCGCATCAAGCTGGGGCTCAAGAGCCTCGTCAGCAAGGGCACCCTGGTGCAGACCAAGGGCACCGGCGCCTCTGGCTCGTTCCGCCTCAGCAAGAAGCCGGGAGAGGCAAAGGAGAAGGCTCCTAGGAAGAGAACGCCCGCGGCCAAGCCCAAGAAGGCAGCGCCCAAGAAGCCTGCCAGCGCAGCCAAAAAGCCCAAGAAGGCGGCGGCGAAGAAGAGCCCCAAGAAAGCCGTGAAGCCAGCGGCCGCTGCCACCAAGAAGGCAGCAAAGAGCCCTAAGAAAGCGACAAAAGCTGCCAAGCCCAAAAAGGCGGTGGCAGTCAAGAGCCCAGCCAAAACGAAGGCGGTGAAGCCCAAAGCTGCCAAGCCCAAGACGGCCAAACCGAAGGTAGCCAAAGCAAAGAAGGCGGCCCCCAAGAAAAAATAAATATCCTGAAAAAAACCCTCTCCTCTGCTTGGCAGATAAAACCCAACGGCTCTTTTAAGAGCCACCCATAGTTTCTCAAAAAGAGCTGAAATGCTGTTTCTTACGGTTCTTTGTGTGTGCGGTTGGAGGCTCGCTTTTTCAGCCAGTCAGACCGCGGTGCAGATCTCCCTCCCTCCGTTTCCCCCGTGTCCCGGGCAGCTGTCCACGCAGCAGCTCACTGCACCACGTCCGAGCCGGCGCGCTGTGAGGAGCCTCAAGGCGGCTGTACGGAACCGGAACGAATCCGGAGGGTTTGTCAGAGTCCCAGCAGCGCTCGCCGCTCCGGCGCTGCGCCGTGGTTGGTGCGCTCTGCTCTTTGCTCTCCCCATCGCGGCGGATTTCGAAAAGCCCGCGCTGCGCGAACATTGGCTGCGGCTGGCGAGCTTCTGGGGTGCGCGGGGTTTCCGAGTTGCACAGGCGCTCCGTCTCTGTTCTATCGGGTGGGAATTTAAGTTTTTCGCTCGGCGGAAGAGGTGTATGAACTTAACGGGTGCGTGATTGCCTCCTCTGTGTGGGCTTATTTTACTCCCTGTGCGATTAAGACCCCAAGAGTCTCGTTTCTCCCCTGGAAATCGTAGCGCGGGAGTTGCTCCTGGAACTCTCCGCATCGCTTCGGTGCTTAAGCTTTTGCCCTTAAAGCCGCAGGGCTCTTTTCTCGTACGGCCACCAGCGGAGGCCAGGAGGAGCTCGTGTTCGAATTCAAAACAGAGCCTGTGCTTCTGAGATATCTTCCTCAACCGTTGCTGTTACTCTTCTTCTGCATGTCCTCCTAGCACACAGTTTTGGTCCTTGTTGGGAACTATGACCTCTTCTTCTATGTAACATACAAACCCACACGTGCATCTCTTCTTGTTTTACTTTTCCCCTGAGCTTTTTGGGCTGGTTCACCGTTCACTGACAGCTCCAAGTCCTGAGCTGAGATCCAGAGGTTGGGGTGGAGCTGTGCCTGACAGACTCACACCTACCATAAGTTGAAGTTGCTCGCTGTCACACCCACCAATTTTTTAAGGGCTTTACCCCAACTATTTGCACTGACCCAATGAGACTGGGTCAGTTGTGGTTTTCCATCTCTCTACACATGGTCAAAAAGAAGTGGATTTTGGCTGAGTACATTCAAACAACAGGTACAGTGCTGAGGCAAATGTGATGTTAATGGTCAGTTTATTACTTTGGATTGGAGCCTGAAAAAGCAAAAAACAAGCAGTTGCAACAGGATGGACAAAACAGCATTACACACCCTGCTAATTGAATTGGAAAAAAATTTTGGCCTGGGAGATGAGTTGGGCTAAATGGCAGTGGTTCTGTGTTGGTGTGCTGTCACCTATCATCTCTATTTGCCCAGAGGAGGGATTAGGGAGTTTCCTCAGAGGGAAAATAAATAAATTGTTGGCTTGTTTCTTTACCCAATGGGAAACAGGGAGTGCAGTAGCAAAAAGCAAGAGCTACCTGAGAAAAATGAGCATGCATGCACCAGTGTAATACATTTATGGCAATCACACCACTGCAGTTTCAGCCAGTATCGTGAAACGATTTGTTTTCACTCTTCTTCCCTTGGCCTGTGCACTGCTGCTGTGGGGCTGTCAGATTATCTTACCTATGGGAACAGGTGCTGCACAACTCCCTCTTCCTCAAAAATAGATTGTCTTAAACCATCAAGTCCTTGCCACAGGATTGCCATGTGAATCTCAGGGCCCCACTTGAATTTCAGCAGTCCACACTGGCTTCCTAGCAGTTTCCTATTCTGGACACAAAGCAAGCAGATATCCTAATAAATAAATTAGGGGATACTCCTGTCATTTCAATTATCCAACTGCAAATTGTCAAGCAAAGGTTTGATTCTCTTGTTTGTGGTTACATGGAGATGGGACACATCTCACTGTGCTGTGTGACACCTTTATTGGACATCTGGGCATTCATTTATTTTCTTTATTGTGTTAAGTTGCTTTGTGACACTGAGGAAATCAGGAAGAGATAAGCTCAGCTCTGCATGAGCCAAGATAAGCCACATGCTGAGATCATAGAATCCTTAAAGTTGGAAAGGATTTCTTAAGGTCATCTTGTTCACATCCCCTGTGATGAACAGGGACACCTACAGCTCAATCAGGTTGCTCAGATCCTGGTCCAGCCTGACCTTGAGGAGCAAACTATTCAGGACAGACTGAAAAGTGCTTATCCACTGGCTAAATAAATAAGTAATATTAAACAACCATCAAAACAACAGAGGGAATTAGTGATTTTTGTTGTTTTCTTTTCTTAGAATGCTGATGATCTGCTTAGTTTCTAGTCCTTGGGAAAGTTTGCTTCACAGAATGTTTCCTTGCCCATGCTGTCCTTGTCTCTGTCTTTTAGTTGTGTCCTTTTGTGAGAACCAATGAGCAGAAAGTTCCCCAGAGGGTGACTATCACAACCAGGGCTGCTGGAATAGGATTGCAACAGCCCTGGATGCTGGCATAGGATTGTTGGAATAGGATTCCTACAAGACTCGGTTCCAGGTCAGGACATCTCAGTTGCCATGGAATATCTATTATGTTTTTTGCAGATTTTATACAGGCTGTATGCTCAGATTAACAATGTCTGTTCTGAGATGAATAGAAGATAGCACAGATTCTTAGATTTCTACAGTGCTCCCACAGCATGGACACTTCCTTGTGCTACAGACTCCAAGCAACGCGAATATTTCTGCCTGAAACACAAGATGCCACATTTTAGGAGCTTTAGGATCTCAAGCAAAAATAACATTTTGCCTTTTGTGAATAACTGTGACCTGGGAACTGGATTGGAATCAGGTTGATTTGGTTGATTCTGTGCAACTATTTCATACTGTGAGCTGAGTCGCTGGTAACCAAAGAGGAGTTGGTTTATCAGTCAGCAAAGAAAGGCCCCTGCTTAGTGAGGAGCCAGGCTGAGGCTGAAAACACAGGTATCCCCCTTCTGGTTTTAAATACTAAATACTAAAATACTGCTCAAAAGTTAGGAAGAAGGTCAAAAATGGGTTCAAAAGTTTGAATTAAAATGAAGATCTGCTTTCATTTGTTGTCTTTTCCACGGGGTCAACATTTTATTTCAAATATTTACTTACTATCAAAAGTCTGTGATATTCCAGTACTGGAAGTAGAAAATGAAGAAAGAAAATAACAGCAAAGGAATATTGAGAGTAATGAAGATCTCAGATCAGCAGCACAGACTCAGTAGCCTGGTGAAAACTCTGCTGAAGTAGAATTACTTAGCAGAATGGTTTTATTGTAGTAATAAATCAATTACTACTGATGGTCACTTTTCTACCATGAGGTTACAGCATTTTCAATTGGCATCAGTCACTGTAAAGTTGGATGATCTGCTCATATAAGCAGGTAATGTCTCTGCATTAATTCCTGTAACATTTTATTCTGTATTAGTGGGTTCTGTTACTCCTGTGCTTTTATGTTTCTGTTTTTTGCTGCAATTGTTGTGCTTGAGTATGAGTTTATTCTGCACAGCCTTAGTTTGTCTCTGAAAAGCAGTAAAAAGATCTCTCCTGGATGTTTGCATCTGAAAAACATTGGAGCTAGATTTTTATATAAAGACAGCTGCAACACTGACACAAAAAATCTTTCATGTTGATTTGGGAAAATTGGAGTTGAATTTTGATAAATGCTGAAATGATGATTACACAAAACTGTAAAATATGTATATGCTGTTTTCACACATCTTCTGAGGTTGCGAGCAACCTGAGGTGAATAAAGACGGGGAAAAAAAAAAAGAAGTCTTTGTGGTATCCCACCCTGAAGAAATGGAGAATAGATGCATACAATCCAAGATTAATTTTCCAGGCTCTCAGAAGGAAGGAGCTGAGCTGTGCAGATGTTATGCACGGACAGGAAGGTGAGGGTAGTAGACCCTGTAGAGAACCCTGAAAGCAGGAGTGAGATCAAAACCAGTTTTGTGCTCAGCTTGAGTTCAGCTGCAGCCACTTGTCACCCAGACACCTCTGAATTAACAGGATTATGCAACAGCATTTCTTCGCAAAATATGTGCCACAAGTTTCTTTTTCACAGCCCAGATCACAATGCACCCAATTGAGAACTGAGAGGTGCCAGGTCTGTCTATGGGGGGCTCTGTCGATGGGAGATGTGTTCTTTACTTTGCTGGTGTTCTGCTGGTGCTGGTGTTCTGTCAGTGAAACCCCAATTCTAGATCTTCCCAAGCACTGCAGGGTTTGCTTTACAATGACTCAGGAATGGCTGTCAGGATCTGTGGAAAGAAAGAAGTGTAGAAAAATCTTTTTTTCTAAGTGAAAAGTCTTTTCACTGTGATATTTATTGTGCTACAGTTGCCAGGATCAGGAGGAATATGAAAGGCCAGATAAGAAAATGCATGCACACCTTGAGAACAGATGACAGGAAAGAGTATTCCCCTGCTGTCACAAGCTAACAAATCATGTTCTCTTCATAAATCTGTTTTGTTCTATTAAAACCTCTTAGTTTTTATTTCTCTTTGAATTCTCAACAACTGGGACCCCCATTTGCCCCAGTTTCCTTTGTGTCCCCCAGAAATTTACTGACAGTAGCTGAGGGTCAGTGTGCAGCAACCCAAGAATAGATCCCTGGCTTGACACAGCCAGACAGCCAACGTGTGCCAGGCTGCAAACACAACAGGACCACAAGTAACAATAAATATTCCTGTTGAATATTCCTGATATGTCTACTAATCCTTTAACTCGAGTACTCACCGTATTCTGCCTGGTGTGGCAGAAAGTTTGTTTTAGGCCTTAAACATTGTGTGGCAAACCCAACAAGCTGACACAAAAGCTGTGGATTGAGAGAAGCCAGGCACACTGAAGGAGGGAGGGAAGAGTGAAGATGAAGGACAAAAAATGTATATTGCTCATAGATAAATGTTACGCTATCTCTATGGGAGGGGAGCGGAGGGGAAAAAGCATGAAGCCGCTCAGCTTGAGAGGGAGAGCAGTAAAGCAACGTCCACGAGAGGGCAGCAAACACTCAATCATGGTAATGTTTTTCAGCTTTTATGAATCGTTTTCAGCTCCTAAGCAGAAATGTCAGTCAATACTCATTGACTGTTGCCACGATCGTTGTTGAAGTTTCTTGTTTGTAACAGAACGTTTTCCATCCCAGAAGAAATCAGAAGAGGTCTACACCTTCCCTTAAAGGATAAAAACACCTTTGTTAGGAATTTAATTTTTCCATCTCTAAAAACAGCCACATGGATATTTACCATGCCACAGAAATGGAAAGTACTGTATATTCTTTTAAAGAACTTTTTAGCTATTGAAAAAGAAGAAAAGAAGAAAAGAAGAAAAGAAGAAAAGAAGAAAAGGAGAAAAGGAGAAAAGGAGAAAAGGAGAAAAGAAGAAAAGGAGAAAAGGAGAAAAGGAGAAAAGGAGAAAAGGAGAAAAGGAGAAAAGGAGAAAAGGAGAAAAGAAGAAAAGAAGAAAAGAAGAAAAGAAGAAAAGAAGAAAAAAAAAGATAGTAAGAATTAAACTCTCTTGATTAATGTACCTTTTGTGTCACACTCTCCTTGAGCAGAAGCTCAGAAAATGAAGGAAATTGAGATTGTAAAGAAATTCAAGGAAGTAGAAATCAATTGTCAGAAATGCTATTGGATGGATTTTGCTGAAAGAAGCTCCTTTAAAAAACAAAAACAAAAACTACCTCTGAGGAGCAGCTATTTAAAACATTACAACCATGTGTAAGAATCAGTGCTATTGGATAATTAAAGGAACACTGTAAGAAAAAAAAAAAAAAAGTGAAACTGTAAGATGAAATACAGACCCGTATTTCAAAATAATATATACAGATATATAAAGAAATATAAATATAAAGAAATGGAGCAGAAATTTCAGAGATACAATAATCAGGAAACTGTTACAAGATCAAGGTCTGGCTCTAATTGAACAAAATTTTAAAAACAAAACAAAAAATACTAATAACAAGTAACAATAATAATAATAGTAATAATAAAGCCAAATAGTCAACTTAAATGAAAAAGCGAGGTTAGGACCCAAGAAGGAAAACCGACAAAAAAACAACTTTTGTGCAAGCGGGGCACAAATGAGCCCACAGAAAGCAGATGAGGCGGGAAGTAGACCGAGCCCCGCCCCTTCCTCTGCAGTCCCCAATCAGGTCGGCTCTCGCACTACAAATATCCCCGCTCCCCAGTAGCCCCCACGCATTTCTTCTCGGTTACCGCGGCGCTCAGAATGTCCGGCAGAGGCAAGGGCGGGAAGGGGCTCGGCAAGGGGGGCGCCAAGCGCCACCGCAAGGTGCTGCGCGACAACATTCAGGGCATCACCAAGCCGGCCATCCGCCGCCTGGCGCGGCGCGGCGGCGTCAAGCGCATCTCGGGGCTCATCTACGAGGAGACGCGCGGCGTGCTCAAGGTCTTCCTGGAGAACGTCATCCGCGACGCCGTCACCTACACCGAGCACGCCAAGAGGAAGACGGTTACGGCCATGGACGTGGTCTACGCGCTCAAGCGCCAGGGACGCACCCTCTACGGCTTTGGCGGCTAAAGTGATCTGACGTTAGACTGCGCTTTTAAAACACCCCAAAGGCTCTTTTCAGAGCCACCCACTTACGCTGGAAAAGAGCTGCGATGCTGTGTTTTTGTTGGAAGGCCGCCTACCGAAGTTGCTGTTACTTGGTAATTTCTTTGAATCTTGTTACTGTTTCACAAGTGTTTATGGTAATTACCATGTAATGCTTTGCATTGTACTACTAGTAGTGAAGTTAGGTTGCCCAGAGGGGTTTAGTTTACTCCTTATCTTCCCCAGTAAATACTGAGCACCCTGCTAATAAAGTATATTAGCAAGACATTAATTTCCTTTCTGTTTTCAGGTCTCACAGAGTTTAGTGCAATCTGAAATAGTAATGACACCGTAGTTGATCTAAGAATTCTTCCTTTAACCCACTGCAAATCGCTGTTTGGGGAGGATCAGCATATGGGAGTCTAAAAAGTGATGCATTATAATGGGGAGGGGAAAAAAAAAAAAAAAGAAGCTGATGCAACTTAAATTTTATTTCTGATGGCAATCGTAAGTGAATTGTTTCTTCATTGTAACCTGGAATAAGTGAGTTGCTTTTTGTTTAGTTTTTTAACTATTTAAAGATTAGATGCTTAATAGAACTTCATTTACAGAAAGAAAACACAAATGAAAACCATGTTCCTAGCAAGGTGTTGTAACAATGACTCCAGTCAAAAAAAAAAAAAAAGGACTTACCAAAAGGATTTTGTCACAGAATTCTTCCTCACTATGCTGGAGTGTCTTAATTTCTGTAGCTTTACACCTTTCATTATGAAGATCAAAGGGAAATAACAGGAAAAATGTTGTGCTTTTTTGTTTTATATTTTAAAAATACTTATAACCATTTTCTGCTCATAAATAACTGTTAATAAATGCTCACAGCCACTTCTGGCTTTTCCCCAGCTTCAATACTCACCAGCACAGACAAAGCAGCACCAGCTGCATAGCTCTCACACACTCCTCATGGCTCCAGGATGTCGCTTCTCTGAACATTCTCAAAATCATTATTTTGCTTGGCGGCTGTGAGCGCTCATTTTGATTTATGTTGTAAAAATTAGTGTGGAAAAAAATAACAGTAAAGGTTCATCTTTCTACCGTTTATATCACACTCAGCTACAAACTTCAGTTACACAATTTGTCTCTGATAGTTGAGAGGAATTGGGAGATCTTTTCTTTGAGGCAGTGTGGATAATATGACTGTTTCTGTGAGCAGACAAGGAGAACTGTATAGCCTTTTTCTTCTAATTATTCTACAATAAACATATCTTAAAAAGAAAAAAAAAAAGCGGGGGGGGAGGGGGGGGGAGAAAATATAAACTATTAAAATCAGATGACTTTTCGAGAACTTCTCGTGAATTCCAGCCTCCACACGGCTTTTAAGCTGTCACGAATTCGGGTAGAGGGGAAACCGGAGAAGACTGGATGTGACCTCAGTGTCACAAACGGGGGCCCGTGCCTCGGCCGTGCACCGAGATCCGAGATTTAGTGGGGATTACTGGCAGTCGCAATTCTATCCTGCTAGAGCGCAGACAGGGATTTTCAAGCGATCCAATCAGGAGGAGGCTTTCAGTCGCCCAATCAGAGATGGGGAAGCTCTATAAAAGCCCGCGCTACGCGGCTGCTTTCAGCGTCTCCGTTATCAGAGGACAGGACGGGGGTTCTTCGCGATGGCGCGCACGAAGCAGACGGCGCGTAAGTCGACGGGCGGCAAGGCGCCCCGCAAGCAGCTGGCCACCAAGGCGGCCCGCAAGAGCGCGCCGGCCACGGGCGGCGTGAAGAAGCCGCACCGCTACCGGCCCGGCACGGTGGCGCTGCGCGAGATCCGCCGCTACCAGAAGTCCACGGAGCTGCTGATCCGCAAGCTGCCCTTCCAGCGCCTGGTGCGCGAGATCGCGCAGGACTTCAAGACCGACCTGCGCTTCCAGAGCTCGGCCGTCATGGCGCTGCAGGAGGCGAGCGAGGCTTACCTGGTGGGGCTCTTCGAGGACACCAACCTGTGCGCCATCCACGCCAAGCGCGTCACCATCATGCCCAAGGACATCCAGCTCGCCCGGCGCATCCGCGGGGAGCGCGCCTGAGGCGCTGCCCATCCCCCTTCTCTTCCGGCAGAGGCCGAGGCAGCCCACACAGACCCAAAGGCTCTTTTAAGAGCCACTCCATGCACAGTAAGAAGAGCTGAAGCACTGTTCCCTGTTTGAGGTGTTTAATCCTTGAACTCTTCGTTTCACAGACCAGTACTTTATTTGCAGTTCCAGCTCCTGATATAGTTTTCATTGCACTGAAATGTCTACAGTTAATCATAGTTCACAAATTTCCTGAGTAAATTGAGGATGTAAAGTTTTTCAGTAGGAGTTTCATAAATGTCTTTGGTTGTAAATTGTATATTTTGCCAGTAATCAGTATATATATTTGTACTTGATCCTTTGCTAGCACAGGTAGTAATCAGGATTCATACAGGGGCTGATACAGTTCTGAGCAATCAGATCCCTGCAGTTAGAATTCTAGGATAACATATTAAGGTAAATACAGCTTTCTCAGTTGAGGACATCTTCAGTACAAGGACTTCTGCTTGAATCTCCATTATCACACACAGAAGAGGGACCAATCTAACAAGGTTTTGTGTCAGTTAAAAATTAGGCTTCAGACTTGCAACAGGGAGCAAAAGGAATTTTCCCATGAATGTGGGAAATAATTTCCTGTGTTTTCCCATGGCTCGAAAGCATGTGCTCTGTACCTGGGTTGTGAGGGTACAGAACAGATAAGGAATGCTGAAAGTTACTAGAGCAGTCACCTCTTGCCAGCAGAAGTTTCTCGGTGGTATTTGCATTTTCCCTTAGACCTGCTTGCTGTATCGTCAGAGTCAGCATTCCAACAGAAACAGAAAAGAAGACAGCATGTTGCTCAGCATACAGGGTAGGCAGCAGCCCCAAGTGAGCACTGATTTGTTCCTTCTTACTCCACTCTGTCCCATGAAGCTCCTCAAAACAGTTGATACCCGCATTGGAGATATCTTGGGATATATTATGGGAGACCTTATTGCTCTCTATAACTTCCTGAAGGGAGGTTGTAGTGAGCTGGGGGTCGGCCTCTTCTCTCGTGTCATTAGTGATAGGACCAGGGGGAATGGTTTCAAGCTACGGCAGAGGAGATTCAGGCTGGACATGAGGAAGTATTACTTTTCAGAAAGGGTGGTCAGGCACTGGAATGGACTGCCCAGGGAGGTGGTGGAATCACCGACCCTGGGGGTGTTCAAGGAAAGACTGGATGTTGCGTTGAGGGACATGGTTTAGTAGGAGCTATTGGGAATAGGTGAACGGTTGGACTGGGTGATCTTTTAGGTCTTTTCCAACCTTAGTGATTCTATGATTCTATGATTCTATGATCTTATTTTGAAATTAAATTGCAATGGAAGTACAGAGCTACAGTATCACCAAGCTTTGAGTGCAATGGCTGCGATCTCTGTAACGGACAGAGAAGCTATGTTTTGATTTTCTATTTCAAACAGAATGTGTACACACACACATATACATATACACACACTGAATAATTTCCATATCCACTTTTGGGAGTGGATTCCACTGACTGCTGTCTGATAGCTCCACGCAGTGCCTGGGCCTGTACCATGCCAGGCAGCAGTGCCTGTCCAGCAATGTGCTCTTTATTCATACTGTGACCCCCCTCATCACTTTCAGCTCTGTGTGTTCAAACGTTTTAACCTTCGCTAACGTCAAAGTGGTACCTAGCTACAAAGCAATTCCAGCTGAGAAAAAAAGTCTGTTCCTGACATGGAACAATGAAAACAAAAATTATGTAGCCTACTGTCCATAGTCTTATAGTCAGATATATATCTAATCCTTTAAAATTACACTTGTGAACATTCTCTGTATGTTACTCCAACAGGAGCAGTTTCCATTTATCAGATTTTCATCCCTTGCTCCTCAGGTGTTAACGTGTAAAGAGATAAAGTCATTTTTTCAAATTGATCATCCCTTATAGCAACACTGGCGTCACAGAGGGCAGAGTTAGGCAGAATAACTAATCCGTGTTGTGCTGGGACAGAGGGAATTGAGAAAAAGTTAAAGGGATACTGAGTGAAGGAAATGCATACATACAAATATGCATATACACACACGTATTTACATATATAGTTTTCTGTATGTATGTTCTACATCCCTGTCTGGCTTTCACAACCAGGCATTGCCATTTGCCATTTTCCTTCCCCTTTGTATTTCCTGGAGAAAAGAAGGCTGTGGGGTGACCTCATTGCAGCCTTTTGGTACCTAAAGGGAGCCTACAAACAGGAGGGGAATCAACTCTTTGAAAGAGTAGATAACAGCAGGACAGGGGAAATGGTTTTAAGTTGAGGGAGGGGAGATTTAGGTTGGATGTCAGGGGGAAGTTCTTTACTGCAAGTGGCGAGGTGCTGGAACAGGCTGCCCAGAGAGGTTGTGAATGCCCTGTCCCTGGAGGCGTTCAAAGGCAGACTGGATGGGGCCCTGGACAGCCTGGTCTAGTATGAAATGGGGAGGATGGTGGCCCTGCGTGTGGCAGGGAGGTTGGAGATTCATGATCCTTGAGGTCCCTTCCAACCCTGGCCATTCTGTGATTCTGTACCTATGGTTATGCTATGAATATGTGCTGTCCCTGGCCTCTTTTATATCCCATGTTATTTCTGAAACACCACACTCCGTGAATCTTGCTGTGGGGTTCCCTGGATGCCATCCTCACATAACTATGTTCTCACTGGAGACCAACATGGATGATAACATTACAGCAGCATGTGGGACAGGCCACACTTCGTTATCAAAGGCAGAGGAATAGACACCCTAAGAACAAAAGTCATGGGAATCCAAATGTTTTATTTGTGAATGAACAGAAATATGAGTTCACCGACATATTGAAAGGCTGTGCCTGCAAAACTGAGCACAATACAATGGGAAACCAAAGCAATTCAATACCAACTTCAATTTTCTGTCTACAGAAGTCTAATGAATGAACTAAAATCTAGTAACTATTGATCCTGTCTTCCTACTTGTATTCCTCTTGTTTCAAACTTCTTTGTTTTTGGTTTTTTTTTTTCCCTCCTTTTTTCTTTTTTCCAAGTTCCCCTGTTGAAAGATACTCAGGCCAATTTATTCAGGTCTCCAAGTAATGAATCAAAGATAAATAGCAATTTAGATTACTTGAATATCCTAGTTGTCCCAAATACCAGCCTTTATTAGTGATTTTGCTTTATCCACTAGAACACTTACACGTCTATTGAAGAATCAAGTTTTTGACTGTATCCCAGCACAAGCAACGACTGAATGCATTTATAAAGAAAACACTGAAACAAATTAAATTAGTTATTTTATACGCAAAGTCAAATATTACCTACCTTTAATGTTCCTTAAAAGTACAAACTCCTGCAGCGGACATGAAAACTAGACAAAGGGACAATTTGCAGTGAAATAAAAGAAATGTGGAAGGTTACTTTTACCTACCGTGTGATATAGCTCTCACACTAATATTTTAACAACAGATGTGTCAAAGCCCGAATTAATGCATCACTTAATACCGTTTACACACATTAAAAAAAAAAAAAAAAATACCCCCTCAAGATCTGTATGGTATAAATAGTGCTTACAGAGAAAGCAGAATGCTCCTTAGAGGCACTTACAAACACTTTTTCTGCACAATTTCCAGCAGCCATCCATAGGGAAGATGTAAGGAACACAAAATGACTACTAGTTTCTATAAAGCAGTCCCATAACTTTACAATACCTTAAATAAAGTTGAAGACGATGTAATTGAACTATGCAGTTATCAGTAAGCAGTGTCACAGCTCCCTTGAGTGGCAACATGGTGGCTCTTAAAAGAGCCTTTAGGGTGCGGGGATGAAAGAGATGGAAGGACAGCG